GGGTGGGATGGGACATCTCTTGTGTGCCGCGCAAACCAGCGTGCCTAAAAACCAGGCTGCCCCGAAGGCCCAGCGGAGCTCCGGTCAGGCTTTGCCCTCAACACACACAGAGGTCTCACTTTTGCAAAGGCAAGTTCTGCAAATATTCACTTGCTGTTGATGGGACGATAAGGTTTTGCAATGCAAAAGTCTGCATTTATATTCAAGGGGCTATTTGAAACTGGAAGAGCCCAATGAAACTTACTGCCTGCCGGGTTAAATAAATCCTTTGCATCCTCTTCTTCCTCAGCTCCTCTTCGTCACCGATTCTGTGCGCATCACTGGGGGTGAGAGCAGCCTGTGATACATTGGCCAGGGGCACTTTTTTGAGAACCATTAGTTAAGCTGATTTATTTTGTTGCCTCTGTGTCCCTGGGGTCCCTGCGAGCCGACTCATCGAGTGCCCAGGGCAGAGCTGACATTGCTGGAGAGGCAGATGCCAGCGCACGGCGGTGTTTCCAGAGACGAAACAGGGTCTTCTCAAAGTGACCCCTTGATGACGGCTGAACAAATATAACGTGAGCAGCGCTTCCCATGCTAACCAGTATTTCCCAGTGCTTTCACTAGCACCCAGATGCTGCCACTTCTTCTCTTTGCCCTCCAGCTGTACACCGATCCCCTCGGAGGGTTAAATGCGATCCGAGCTAGTGCATGCTGCTTTCCCGAGGATTTAGGCTGCAACACCTGATTTACCACTAACGGGGCTTAAGGAGCAGCGGTTGTACATCCAGACTGAGAGCTGATCCATGTGGCGGGGTCATGCATTAAGGCTGGAAGATGAGCATTTCACACCCTGCCCCAAAACGATACCAGCAAAATGTGGTGTACATAGAGCCGGATTAGGTGTTCCAGGGCCAGGATCATCCTTTCTTCTATTTTCTTCAGTGCAAGAGAGATCTGTGTCCTCTTCCCCCAGCCTTAAGTAGATATGTGTAGGACAGACCTAGGAAGATCGCTGCTTTTTTCACGGTGAATTCAGACCCAAGGTCATCCCCGAACCCCAGACTGGGCACAGGAGCGTGAGTATAAATACAAATTTTTGACGGCTGCCCCATCCAGTTTGAAAATATAGACCCATGAAGGTTTTATTATGTACTTTTATTTTTACTTTTCTTATATTTCTTTTTTTGTGTTTGTTTTTGGCAGGGCTTCTTTGTAGGAATTGTACAGCTCCATTTCACCATCCAAGGTAAGGAAAACGTAGCGTCCCACTGGCCAATTCCCACACTTTGTTCAGGCACAAATGGAAGAGATGTTGGAGATGTTGTGTTCAGTTATCTCAGCCTACCTACCATGATATTTTCACTTGGGCTTAACGAGCTAGGAAATCTGGGCCACTGTGTGCTGGTGGATATACTCATCCTTCCTTCAGCTAAATATGTTATCGGATGGCTTCCACGGAGATGAGCAACTGCTTCCTTTGAACTCACGAACCATCAAGATCCGCTAATTTGCCTAGACCACCTGCTTGGCTAATATTACCACAGGCCTCTTATTTTCTCTCTGAAGTGGTAAACAGAAACGCAGAAGGTGCCTCAGTGTTGCTGTACCGAGCCACCCCGGCATGCCGGCAGCGGAGATCGGCCGGACCACGCCGTCAGCTCTGCCCCAGCCAAATAACGACAGCACGGACAATGCAAAGCCCCGCTAACAGCCTCCGCTTTTTGCCCCAGGACTTGCAGCCCTGCAGAAATCCTCCGGCTGGATCCGCGAAAGTCCCAAGGTCCCATATTTTGCCATATAAAACAGAATTATCCCGCTTCTCCGCTCGCTCTGCCTTGTGTTTGCGCAGAGCTGGCTGGGGTGCCTCTGCTCCCCGGACACGGTGTCTGCACATTGGATGCTCCATCCGCGGGGAAGAGAGTTGACCGCTGAGGTGTTAATGAGTCCCCCCCACCCCAGCCAATTAGCCCCGGTAAAGGAGATTTGCTTCCAGCCAGCCTGGGGAGCCTTCTATCGTGCTGATCTGCACGGGCACCCACCCCACAACGTAGCTAGTGATGCCGCAGGGTATTTCTTCCACGGACCGCAGATATATTTTTTAATTGCCATAGAAACCTCCAAACATCGCAGCATATACTCTTATGTCAGGATCTCACTGCTCCGCACCTGCTTCCTGGGGACACTATGGGGAATAGGTGCTTGTAATCTCCTGAGCGGTGGCAAATGACCATTTTTGGTTTTATTATCCGGCACATTCTTGATGTCCCCTGGACCACGGGACAGACTCTGTGGCTTCGGTCCTTTCACTCTCACCCATCGATGACTTGCTGTGTGTGGGGGGGACACCATCTCTCACCGATCTGCCCGGCCTCGCAGAGGGCTGTATTTGATGTTTCAGCCCTAAATATTCCTCCGATCGCTGCTCTTACCGCTTTAGATGTGCAAAATGCAAATCCTGAGAGGCGTTGCTGGCAAAGCAAGCTTGGCAACCCTTAAATTAGCAACGTGCAAGCGCGCGGCGTTCTGCCGGGAGCTCCTCGTGCCGTTAATGCCGACGGTGTAACGAGCCTCGCTCCCCGTTCCCGTGCAAGACGTGCACACCGGCGCGGCAGACGGTGTATCCTCGCAGCTCCGCGGGATGTCCCTCAGCACGCCAGGACGGTGGAAGGACCGTCAGCACTGAGGTGAGGGGAAAGGGGCTCTTTGATTGACCATTTATTAGGATGGAGCCGGAGGATAAGACAGATGGCTGGGGTTTGTTGGCAGGGAACTCCACTCCTGTTTGTTTAATTAGTCACCAGACATACCGAAAGCTAAAGCATGTTCCATGCAAACTCGGAAGCGGGGTGAGATGGACCATTTGCACTTGTCGTGCAGAAGCGACTTGGTGATCCTCATCTCACGGTCCTGCTGCGGGATCGATGCTCCTGCATGTGGGATCGGGCATTCCGGTGGCTTCAGGCAACCTTTATCTCCCTGCTAGGTTTTTTTTCCCCCAAAAGGGATGGATTCAGCCATGTGCACGGCTTTTTAAGCCAAAGGGGGCACAAACCTGGAGTTTTCCTTCCTCCAGCACCCACCAGAGCAGATTCACCGGTGGAGGGGTTCAGCTCCTGGTTTTCCCATCACGTCTCCCTCCTTCGCCATCTCCCGACACCTGAGCACATCTCTTACCTCTGAGCTTCCCTGTCCGCAAAGAGACCGGGACTGGGAAATGCTGCAAAGGTACCAGTGTCGCTTGTTCCCCGAAGCACAAGCCGTGCGCAGATCAGACATTTGACACCCTTTTGCTGTCCCCACAAATAAGTGCACTTTACACCTTTATTTATGTTTCATAAAGCGTTAGATTCTGCTTGGTATTTGCTGTCTTCTTGCAAACGCTTGTGCTTGGGTTTGGGTTTTTTTTCCCTATTTCCCTTCTTGGATATACCTGCATCACTCATCCCTCGAATACCAGGGAAATAAAATCTGCGGGGGGAAACTGATAGCCCGAAAAACCCCAAATCCTGCTCCTGTCTGTTAGCGCTCGCAGGGTTAAATCCATCGACTGCTCGCCAAAACCCCGGGACAGCATTTACCACTGAGCGTGCCGATATGCAAAACATTCCAAAAGAAAAAAAAATTAAAATAATTTTTAAAAAGACCCCTTTTTTTTTTTTTTTTTTTTTTTGCCGATGCGACATTCACCGGAGTCGAAAGTAGCATCCCCCCCCCATAAATTAAAAAATAAAAATAAACCCTTGCCATTACCCCGCAGTCCACTAGATGGCGGTTTCCTCCAGCGGGAAAATCCGGGGTTTTGCCAACCGGCGGGGGGCGCGCG